CGAAGGGGCCTAAAGTCGGACGTTTATTTCCTCTGCACATTTCCATTCCTAGTAATATTTCTTTTGCATGTTCTGCTATTAGTAATAAAAATGAGGTGTGGCATAAACGTTTGGGACACCCCAATTCTACTATATTGTCTTATTTGTTGAATTCTGGTTTATTAGGCAATAATGATAAAATTTCAAGCCTTTCTTTTGATTGTTCAACTTGTAAATTGAGAAAAAGTAAAATTCTTCCTTTTCCTCTTCCCGGTAGTCGTGCAGATAAATGCTTTGATATTATTCATAGTGATGTATRGGGGATTACACMTRTTATCTCTCATGCACATTATAAGTATTTTGTGACATTTATTGATGACTATAGTYGATTTACTTGGATTTATTTTCTTCGTTCCAAATCTGATGTTTTTTCGGTCTTTAAGACTTTTGTTGCGCATGTTGAAACTCAATTTTCTACTGTCATTAAAGTTCTTCGATTTGGTTCTGGTGAAGAATACATGTCTCATGTACTTCATGATTTTTTAAATGAAAAAGGTATTCTCTCACAATGTTCTTGTCCACACACACCTCAACAAAATGGTGTGGCAGAGAGAAAGAATCGTCATCTCTCAGAAGTTGCTCGTACTTTGCTACTTGAGTCTTCCGTTCCTCCTCAGTTCTGGGTAGAAGCTTTATCTACAGCAGTTTATCTTATTAATAGACTGCCTTCTCAAACTCTAAACCTTGAGTCTCCTTATTTTTGTCTTTATCAACAACATCCTCAATATGGGCATTTACATACATTTGGTTGTGTTTGTTTCATTCATTTGCCTCCTCTTGAACGTCATAAACTTTCTACTCAATCTGTTAAATGTGGATTTATGGGATATAGTACAAATCATAAAGGTTTTGTTTGTTATGATTCCTCTTCTAAGAAGCTTCGTGTTTCTTGCAATGTTGTTTTCTTTGAAAATCAGTTTTTCTTTCCAACTTGTGATCAGTCATTCTCCGATATTGCTATTCTTCCTAGCTTTGATGAATCGTCTTCTTCTCCTGAACGATTCAAGCCTGGATATGTGTATGAACGACGTCATTCACCACCGCCCCTTCCGACTCCAGATCTGTCACCTGATCCTGCTCCAGCTATCTTGAGACGCTCCACTAGAGTCTCCCGTCCTCCTAATTGGTATGGCTCCTATCATACATCCTTTAGTGTTGCTTTATCCTCTGTTTCGGTTCCATCTTCTTACTCCCAGGCAGTTAAGCATGAGTGTTGGCAACAAGCAATGCAAGAAGAACTTCGAGCTCTTCAGGATAATCATACATGGGATATTGTTCCATGTCCACCCAAAGTTAAACTTATTGGGTGTAAGTGGGTTTACTCAGTGAAACTTCGCTCTGATGGGACTCTAGAGCGCTATAAAACTAGGTTGGTTGCTCTTGGTAATCGACAAAAGTATGGGGTGGACTATGAGGAGACATATGCTCCTGTGGCTAAAATGACTACTGTGTGAACAATTCTTGCCATTGCTGCTTCACAGGGTTGGCCACTTAAAAAAATGGATGTCAAAAATGCTTTTCTCCATGGTGATCTCAAAGAAGATATCTACATGACACCTCCTCCTGGTTTGTTCTCCTCTTCTACTTTGGAAGTTTGTAAGTTGAACCGCTCATTGTATGGCTTAAAACAAGCTCCCCGTGCATGGTTTGAGAAGTTCAGATCTACCTTGCTACAGTTTAAGTTTGTGCAAAGTCAATATGACTCTTCTCTATTCCTTCATAAAACTTCTACTGGAATTGTCCTTTTGGTCTATGTTGATGACATAGTTATAATAGGAACGGATTCTTTATTGATTACTCAGCTTCAGCAGCGTCTTCGAGAGTTCTTTCATATGAAGGATCTTGACCACCTTACAGATTTCTTGGGATTGGAAGTTCAATCTAACTTCTCTGGTATATTTCTCAATCAGCATAAATATACTCAAGATTTAGTTGCATTGGCTGGTCTTCAGGATTCTTCATTGGTTGATACTCCTCTCGAAGTGAATGTCAAGTACCACTCGGATGAGGGAGAACTACTTTCTGATCCATCTTTGTATCGACAATTAGTGGGTAGCTTAAACTACCTGACTATTACCAGATCTGACATCTCCTTTGCTGTCCAACAAGTTAGTCAATTTATGCACTCTCCCCGTCATCTTCACTTGGCTGCAGTTCGTCGCATCATAAGATATCTTCGGGGTACTCCATGTCGTGGTTTATTTTTTCCCACTGGGTCTTCTCTGCGCCATAGTGCTTTAAGCGATGCCGACTGGGCTGGTTGCCCAAATACTCGTCGCTCTGTTACAGGTTGGTGTATGTTTCTTGGGGATTCTTTGATATCGTGGAAGAGTAAGAAACAAGATCGGGTCTCTAAATCTTCTACTAAATCTAAATATCGGGCTATGTCTGCTGCCTGCTCTGAGATTACTTGGCTTCGAGGATTATTGACTGAGATTGGATTTCCTCAATCTAATCCCACTCCGCTACATGCAGATAATACCAGTGCTATTCAAATTGCTACTAATCCAGTCTACCATGAATGCACTAAGCACATTGAAGTTGACTGTCATTATATTTGAGATGCTATAAATGCTCAAGTTATTTCTCTTCCACATGTTTCCACAGCTTTGCAAATTGCCGATGTGTTTACCAAGTCTCTTACTCGACAGCACCATAAATTTCTTATTGGCAAATTGATGCTTCTTGATCAGCCAGCATCAATTTGAGGGGGGATGTTGTCATATAAAGCAAACATTTATTTTGTACAGCCTATTTATTTTGTATTCATATTATCTTTCCGTAAGTAGATTGTATAGCTGTAGGTAGAGATAAATCAGCCTTAAATCTCTGTAAATCAGTGTAAATCATGCCTTATTAAATTACTGTATATTCAGCTATATATTCAATGAAATCAGAAAGAAAAGGCATTGAGCCATTCAATCAAAATTCTTTCGAAGGAAAAGTTATCATTATGTAGGTAGTGTCTTATGAATAACACCCTCTATTGCTGTCCTCTCTTCTCCTTTGCCACATGCAAAATGTGTGTGTGTGTGTGTGTGTTATATGTATATATGCCAAGGTTAGGTCCATATCCACCCCTCCCAATAACCCAACCAAATATGAATCATGGTGGTTTTTTCCAACCCTAACCTAACCCAATTTTCAACTCAATCCATCCTGCCCCTATTTTTGAGTAGAGTTCCAGTTGGCCTGACCCAAGTTGCACCCTACAACTAACTAGCATCCATATCCGACCATTCAACACAAGTACTCATGAGAATCTAATATGGAAAGAAAGAACTAAACAAACTGAAGAAGCCAAAATAAGAAAAAGGACTTCTTGAAAGTTGAGAAAAAAAAAAGAATTGAAGTGAAATAGCAACCGAGACATATACATTCCCATAGCATTTAAAAATCTACCTGACTCATTTCACCTTTCAACCGGTTTATCCTATCTGCATTAGGGTCATTTGAATAATAATCCATTTGTTGACTCAAAACCCTTGAAAATTCGTCATTCATGGAATAAGCAAGAGCTGTATGAACAGCACGGCCATAAGTCCTCGCAAATCTTTGATGAATATCTTCTAGAAAAGCAAAAGGAATTCTCCCTGCACAAAAAAGTTTCAATAAATATCATAAGACACATTATATGTAGTTCAGAAGTGAAGATGAAGCTACAGTCCACTTCCCAGAGCTGATGAGATAGAAATTGAATTCAAATAATTTAACCTGCCCCAAGTTTAATAGACAAGGCAGTACAATTCTAGGAACACAAAAGTAGTCATGCTTTAACTCATAATATCACTATTATGGAATAAACGTTGACAAAAGAATATTACTTCACCTCCTCCCCCTCCCCACACTTTTCCAGGCAGCACCTTCTGGTTATCATATCATTTTTTTTTTATTAGTAACATAATAACATTGTTGTCGTGTTAGATTCAAGACTTCCAGTTACAATAAAAAAAATTCCATTTTTACCCTTCAAAAGAAAAAGGATGTGGAAGAACTCCTTCAGAATTTACATTGTTGTCATTAAAAAATATGGAGCAAATAGAAATTTCTGTAAGATAGTCATAAGACAAGCATAGCTATAAGGAACAAAGTACTGGGCAATCAAGGAAAAACATGTTCAACAATTATGTGCATAGCTGAGATGAGGATGTTGAGATGGACAGGTGGCAAGACTAGAAAGGACAGAACAGAAATGAGTCTCTTAGAGAGGACTTGGGAATAGTTCCAATTAGTGACAGAATTAAGTCAATAGTTTAGTCATGTTCATAGATGACCAATGACGGCACCATTGAGTGACATGGTGTGAATAGAAGACTCTAAAAGAGCCAGAGGAAGACAAAAGAAAAGGTAGCTTGAAGTGGAAAAATATTGATTTGGACTTACAACTTGACAGAAAACATGGCTTTTGATAGAGCACAATGGCAGCAAAAGATCCATGTACCCTACCCCAAATAATTGGAATTAAGCATTAAAGCTGAGTTGAGTTGTATCATTAAAGCATATTTTTTTTGGGTAAGCAGTAAGCTGTATCAACTATCAATAAAGCATTGGCTGTAGTTTAAAAATCACATTTTTTTATCAATGTTTAAAAATCATGATTCTAAACAAAAGAATGCAAGAAAAGCGGAAATGAGGTCAATAAGATGGTTTCTATCCCATTGAAGATTATGTTCAAATCATTAAGTAGATGAGATAACTAACCAAACTTATTGAAAAATAGTCTATTCCAATGATGGTAACTCTTCCTTTTCCTTTTCTTTTGTTTAGAAATTAGAACTAATGAAAGAAAGTTTGTCCATCATGACTGTTACAAGAACAATGATTGTCAGAATAGATGAGAAAATTTCCAAAAATTCCCCAAAAGCCTTCTAAACACAACCACATGATTTTCCCCTCTTCCCCTGAGTTATGCTCTATAAGCTCCATAACAAAATGTCCCCCTTAGAGACCTGCCTTAGGTTGAATATGCCTAAGGGCTAAGAAGCCAGTGAAGATTAAAAAAAAGAAGCCAGTGAAGATGATTCTACTCACTTGAAAAATCATTTGCATATAAAACTGATGAGGTTCGAACTGACCCCCAATGAGATCGAGACACGTGGCGACACCGGAAGACTTGGCAGCACCTCGGACGTCTCCAATAACGGCTTGGCCTGAGGTGCCCTGATGACACCCAAACAAGGACCAGCCTGGTATCTGAGCTGAGCTGTGAATAAAAGAAGTACACTCTACCGAGCTGGTCTAACATCAGATGGCATGCACCCAACCTGCACCACCACGTGTACTTAACGACAATCACCTGTGAGGCAATTATTCCACTTACCTGCTCTGTCAGATAGTGGGCCCTGGACTTTCTCCACGTTACCCTTCCTACAATGAGGTGGAGGTCGATGGTGGTACTATCAGTCTGAAAGTACTGGGACTTCCGTTCAATCGTTGGGCAGAGGAGGTTTTCCTCTAGATTGCTACACTGTGCGGCGGTTCTTTACAAGAGGTGAATCTCTCTGACCTTCATGCAGCAACCTTACGAATTCGAAATGCTAAGCTGGAGAAGATACCAAGAATGCTTGAAGTGTTCTCCAATGGAAGGTGGAGACAAGTATGGGTTGTGTCGGAAGTTGAATCGACGCTCTAGGAGGGTGCAAGGAGAGAAGACGATGTTCACGTGGCAAGACAAAGGCCACGTCGAGCAACAAGACTGGAAGCTTCAGGCATCAAACTTGGTTTTCCCCCAAAGAAAACCAAATCGTTGGGCTTGATTAATTTAGGCTCCAATTTACCTTTATTTATCGGGCTTTCAAATAAGTTTGAATTTCAAAGGGAGGGACCTGCATCCTGCATGGACATTTTAAAGGGGGAGTTTTTGGGAAATAAAAACTCGAGACCGGGGCTGAACCAAGTGGTCGGGCCGAGCTTCAAGGAAAACGCACGTGACAACTTAAATGTCACGTGTAGAACAAGGTGGTGGATCAATGGAGGATGCTAATTTGGGTGTATCATCGTCCCCATTGATCCCTAACAGAAGCGGTCAAAGGGGGCTGCTGAATTTACAGTGGGCGAGATGCCTCCCTTCTCAACAAGATAAGCCTAATCCCAGGTATGCTAGATCAAAAGAGGTTCAAGGCGATGAAGAGGATGATGGGCGGTGGATTGATTCCGGTGATTCTGAGGAAGAGTGCTCCTCTGATGAAGAATCCAGTATTGGGAGTGTGGATGGGACAATACAAATCTGTTTGGACATTGAAGAGGATTATCGCATTGGTGCCTTGTTTGCAGCAGACAAACTCAGTGAAACTAAGATTGTAGAGAGGTCTTCCTTTGACAAACCTCTGTAGAAGTCTTGTGAGGATGAAGAGTGCCAACAAAGCTTAGGCTTTCAGAATGCCTTAAACCACATCCACAAACAGCAAGGTCCTTCCTGTGGCCTCTCAGTTAGGAAATCCCACTCTTGTTGACGGCTAAAGCAGGACATTCAGATGGTGACTAAGCAGGAGATCTGTAAAGCTTCGAAGGAAACACCTCCAAGGGGTGCAACTCCAAATTCTGATCAGGTTACCAAAGCCATGGGTCTTCCCCAAACAGATTACCCTGATGCCTGCAACCTAGGCCCGAGTCAAGGTGGTTTGGTCACTGAAACAAAGCCAGGAAAAAAAGGGGACTTCCAGCTCGTAAATCTCGTGTTTTCGGTTTTGCTACCGATTCTTCTGTTAGCTCTCTTGCAGATGGCCCAATCCCTGTTCCTACTATGATTAAGCCCATTGATTTGAATAACTGTGTTGAAAGTGTGGAAAGGGAACTTCCAGCTAGGGTTCCAAAGTCTGTTTGTAGGAGGGATGGAGTTTCTCCCGAGGGAAATATGAGGAATGAAGAGATTAGAGAGGAGGGAGAGAAGGGTAGAGAAGAAAGGGATATGAGGAAGGATGGCACTAATTCGATGAAAGAAAAGGAAAGATGTAGTGGGCAGGAGGATGTTTTTGCAGGAGGGAAGATGCATGTGGAAGAGGACCAGCTGATGAATTTTGCCAATAAAATGGGTCTTAATCTAGAGAAAACTGATGAGGAGATTGTTCAAAAAAAATCCAGGAAAAAAAGGGGTGGAAAAAGAAAGAAAAAAATGAATGAAGTGGAGAAATTAATGAATGATAGTAGAAATTACTGATTGCAGATTTAGACGACTTCCTTGTGAAGAGAAGAAAAGAGGAGAAAAAAGGAGTAGGAAGTCAACCAGAATTGAATTAGCTCTGGCCGCCAACCCCTCATTATAATTTATACTTAACTTAAAGAATGAGATATTACAAGAATGCCCTTAGTAGGGCGGCTACTAAAGTAGCTGAACAGTCACAACTTAAAAACATAAACTAATGGGCCTAAGGCCCAACAACTTCCTAACTTAATAACTTAAAATAAGAATAAAAAACAACTGGGCCCAATAACTAGAAAACTAGCCCAACTCAACACTCCCCCTCAAGTTGAGAGTAAATGTCACACATTCCCAATTTGCGTAGATCATGCTCCAGCTTGTTCCTTGCAACACCTTTTGTGAGAACTTCAGCGAGCTGTAGATTAGAAGCAATGTATGAAAGACAAACTTCCCCAGAAGTCACTCTTTCTCTGATAAAATGTCTATCCACTTCAATGTGGTTAGTTCAGTCATGCTGGATTGGGTTATGGGCAATGTTAATTGCTGCCTGGTTATCACAGTACAACATCATAGGTTCTTCTGCCTGTACACCAATTTCTCTTAATAGGGAACGGATCCAGAGAAGTTCTGAAACTCCATGTGCCATGGCCCTGTATTCAGCTTCAACACTTGGTCTTGCCACCACTGTTTGTTTCTTACTCTTCCACGAGACAAGGTTACCCCCAACAAGGGTGCGTACTCCTAAAGTGGATCTCTTGTCATCAAGGCATCCCGCCCAATCTGCATCTGTATAAGACTCTAGTTTCAACTGTCCATGATCAATAAACAATATGCCTCTGCCTGGGTGTCCCTTCAGATAAGCAAGAATCCGGTCAACAACCTCCCAATGCTGAATTCGTGGAGCATGCATGTATTGACTTACCACACTTAATGCATAGGAAATGTCTGGTCTTGTCATACACAAGTATAGCAACCGACCCACAAGTATCTGATATCTCCTAATGTCCTTTACTGGCTCACCTTCTGATTGCCTTCGTTCCAAGCTTCCCTGTTTCTTGAAGAAGATCCAAGACATACTTCATCTGAGAGATAAAAATTCCATATTTTGATATTGCAACTTCAATACGTAAGAAGTATCTTAGTTCTCAAAGATCCTTAATTTCAAATTCTTTATATAGATTCTTTTTCAGACAATCAATCTCACTTAAGTCATTCCCTGTGACAACAATATCATCCACATAAACAATTAGGACTAACACCAAAGATCCCCTTCGCTTCACAAACAAGGTATGATCGGATTGACTCTGAGTGTAGCCAAAAGCAATCAAGGCCTTTTTGAATCTGTCAAACCATGCTCTGGGAGATTGTTTCAAGCCATAAAGTGACTTCTTAAGATTGCATGCCTTTCCCTTTTCAGCATCACTATAGAAGCCAGCAAGAAGATCCATATACACT